TTATTATTATTATTCAGCTCAAAATATCACTCGCGGATAAAGTGCGACAACCAATGACCAAGAGCGCAGGATATTGAAAATTCATCCCCATCCTCCAAAAAAACAATCTATTCTACATAACAAACTCAGGGGATGTAACACCTCCAGCCTTAAACAAAATGTTTGTTAAAGAAGTATGGAGCTGTGTTGCATAAACTGGCTGCAATGGAATACGTAAAGGTTAATTCCAAGCTTAACGGAAAAGACATAATATTTTTATCTATATATTTTCTAACCCCTTTATCCAAGACAGGTTGGGGTGTGACTTACAGTATTAAGTGCAGTACTGTACTGAGTGGCTACATCTGCACTCCTATATTCAGTAGTTAACTCTGAGTGTTTATTCTCCTTGCTCTAGGAAGATGAACTAGAGCATCACTGATTTCTCAGATACAACAAGATTAAACATTTACTATATTTTCCCTCTTAGAGCTGTTTCTGGAAATCCCAGCTTTTGAAAAATGTGCATTTGTTGGAATACTGAGATGATACAAACCTCACAAAAGACTGAACCCATGGTAAGAAAAGCCTTGTGAATGCTGTTAAAAAAACAGGGCTTAAGGAAATTTTAGAACACTGAGCAGGATAATCAATAATTAAGTACCATAAACATAACTACCAAATTGTAAAAGACATGTCAAGCATATACCTGTTTAGACGCACTTGAGATCTTTATTCTCCTGTACAGCTCTGGTACAGGAGAAAAAAAAAACAGTAAACTGTGATAAATTTATGAACAATTATATAAATCTAGTAACATACAATACAACATACAAGTTAAAATGTACAAAGTGTACAAAAGGCCTAAATTCTAACTAACTGGAAAAACCAGACTACAACCTTGTGTTCACATATCCTGTATAACGCCTAACAGGCCAACAAAAGATACATTTGTGTCCTAAATGAAACATAGAATACAGCACAGAGGTAAATCTCTCTTCTTATAAATCCAGATGCTCCAAAGTGAATGAGACCATATTCTAAATAAATGCATCCACTGAACCTTAGAGAACATTTTTACCCTGGGGACTCATTATAAAGTAAATCAGGAGTTTCCTTAAAAAACAGAAGGCAAGCTCTCTTAAATACTTCAGATACTTAACTAGAATCTGGTCTTCAGGGGTTGATTTGAACAAGGTCCTTTTGCCTGTTACACATTTTTTCCTTGTGCTCTTTCTCCATCTCTTTCTACATCTCTCCACTCCTTATGCTTATACTTATTTTATCCTGGGTTTCAAAATGATGAAGACTCTTTATGACACTGTGGATAAAACTTACTTTTCTCACTGTGGTATCGTTACTCATCACCAGAGTGTCACGATCGTTACTTAAGGGCGCTCCAGCCCTTCCTCGTTCTGTCCCATTCCCCACACCTGTTCCTTATTCCAGCCCCTCTTTAGTTCCACCTTTAAAGCCAGACGCAGGCGATTGCTCGGGGCTTCTCATTGATTTCCGTGTCGTGAGAGCCCGGGGTCTTGCCGCGTCTGGCACCGTTATGGTTTTAGTTTCCTGTTCCTGTTTCCTTGCCCCGCCGGTCCCGACCCGGTTCTGGTTTTAACTACGGATTGATCCCCTGGTCTTGGACTAAACCTCCCGTCTTGGATTCCCCCTCTGGATTTACCCTTGGATTGTTCGCCCTGGATTCACTTCCCCCGGACACTAGCACTGCATGGACACGCCCCCCTGTCTCCTGACCGACTCCTGCAT